GAGAAGAGGGGAGAAGAGAAGAGGGGAGAAGAAAAAAAAAAAAAAGGCCACTGCTTGTGCTACCATAGACATTCAATACCATTCTTTAGACAGCTCCGCAATTAAATACCAAGGTGTCCTGGATCAGAGATGTCAGAAGTTTTAGAATCTACTTTTGTAAAGTAGTTTTCTAAACTATAGGTATGTCAGCCTTGCTTCAATCCCTGGGAAAGCGATGGAGCAAATAACTCCAGAAGCCATTTCCAAACATATAAAGGACAAGAAAGCGATTGGAAGCAGTCAGCATGGATTTATGAAAATGACATCATGCTTAAACAACCTGACAGCCTTTTATGATGAAATGACTAGCTTGGTGGACAAGCTGAGAGCAGCAGATACTGTTTATATTGGCTTCAGCGCTGTTTTTGATACTGTTTCTCCTAACAACCTCCCTGACAAACTGATGGAGTACAGACTAGATGTACAGATTAGACACCGAGGTGGACTGAGAACAGCCTGAACTGCTGGACTCAAAGGTTTGTGATCAGCAGCACGAAGTCCAGCCGAAGGCCAGTCACTAGTGGTACACACCAGTGACTGGGGTCAATAATGGAGCCAGTATTACTTCCCATCTTCAATGACGGGACAGAGTGCATCCTCAGCGAGTCTGCAGAGAACACAAAATTGGAAGGAGTGCTTGGTGAACCAGATAGTTGCGCTGCCCTTCACAGGGACCTCAGCAGGCTGGACAAATGGACCTACAGCATCCTGAGCTGCATTAGAAAGTGTTGCCAACAGGTTGAGGGAGGTGATTCTCCCCATCTCTTCAGCACTGGTGAGACAAAACTGGGGATAGCGTGTCCAGTTCAGGACTTCCCGGTACAAGAAACACAGACTTACTGGAGCAAGTCCAGCCTTTGCTGGATTTGGCCATGAACATGGTTAAGAGCACGTGACGTACAAGAAGAGGCTGAGAGCTGGGACTGTTCATCCTGCAGAACAGAAGGCTCAGGGGGATCTTATCAATATGTATAAATACCTGATGGGAAGGAGTAAAGGAGTCAGACTCCTCTCAGTGGTATCTAGCAAAAAGACAAGAGGCTATGGGAACAAATGGAAATAAAGGAAATAACTTTTGTATTTATTTTTTATTTATTCTTTTAATCCTGTGAGGGTGGTCAAACACTGTAACATTGCCGAGTGGTTGCAAGTCTCCATCCTTTGAGACATTGAAAACTTGACTACACATGGCCCTGAGCAACCTGCTCTAGATGACTGCTCTGAGCACAGGGGCTGGACTAACCAATCTCCAGAGGTCCCTTCCAACCACAGTGATTCTGTGAATATGCAGGATAAGGTCAGCAATAGCATGAAACAACCGAAGAGCTGATTAAGAGGTCTGTTTGGAGAAACAAGTGGAAGAGTAGGTCTAAATTCAGAAGTCTGGGACTAAGAGCAATGGAAGACAAACTGGGGATGCAGAAGGGGGACCTAAAGCAGGAAAGCAGTCTTATTAACAAAAAGAGCACAACAGGAAAATCTGGAAAAACAGAACACAGGTTTCAGTGGACAAACAGAAACCAGTGTTCAGAAAACAAAATGACTAAGAGAGCTACTACTGTTCATACAGGCTTCCCAAAGCCACACAGGGCTGTAAAAAAAGGCATAACCAAGGATCAAAATATACATTTTTAAAGGATCTTGGCTACACGTGGTATAGAGTGCTTTCCCTTGCTTCACTGCCACCTTTCACCCAGAAAAATGATAAAAATGTTTAACCATTACTGAACAAAGTTCCGCCTTACAATAGTGACCACTATCACAAGAGATCAGGCAGAATCACTTTAGTGCTTACAAAAGTAAAAAAGGAGAAAAGGGAAGGAAAAAAAAAAAGTTGATTATCTGCAGGGCAGCATTTAATCATTCCTCTCTTGTTCTCACTCAGAATCACACAAGCATTACATGTAAAATAAAATAATAATAAAACCCTTACCTCTTTAACATTTTGCAAAGTTTCAGGAGTAATTGTGAAGTCTACTGGGCTTGGCATCAGTTTCCCTTTCTGTGACTACAAGTAATGAAAGAGTTAAACTGTAAACTATGATTTACAAAACACACACAGAGAATATTAGAGAAGACAGCAAAGTCAAGCAACTGTTGGGTGTGTTAGTTTTCAGGATTGTCTTCATACTGAAAGTATGCATCTGTGTAATAAAACCCCTGAGATTTCCTGCTTTTGTTATTAAATAACATTATGATATTGTCTAAATACAAGTCACAATGCATCACAAATCTGAATTGTAGAAACAGAACTGTGTGTTTGCCATTGCAATAAACCACAACAAGCTCTCCATTTTTAAGTTTTTGGCATAAGCTCTACCTACACCAAAAAAAAAAAAAGGAAAACAAAAACGAAACATGTGGTTGACTACTCTAAACCACCTGAAAAAGAAGAAATACACCACCTATCTGAAGCATATGGTCTGCTATAGAAAAAAGTTAAATTTCACATTTCTGTATTTACAAATAATTACATTTTATATGTCAGTTGCAGTGTTTCCTTTCATTATTACTACTTAGTAAATTTGGGCCAGGGAGAGAGAGAGATACAAATGAACTTGCTCCATTGCTTCAAATACATTTTATAAACTCTCCCTCCCTCCTGTTATCTCTGAGCACTTTGAACTCTTTCTGCTGCCCTTTCAGTAACAGCTCAGGTCTCCTAAGCCATCCTCATATTACTAGGAGATCCTCAGATGATGGAATCTAGTGTAGCGTTGATTTAATGGGCTTAGCATTCCAGCTTCTTTAAATGTAAAATAAACAAAACTTGGTCCAGGTTAGCTTTCCACACTGGAGAAGCAATTCTGGGGGCACATTATTACAGTTCTTCAGTATCTATTTACTGAAGTAAATAGATAAAAAAACTTCACAAAAACAAGAAGTTAAGTCTTTCTGTAAGCGGCTGAATGGGCCCTGAGCTCTGCTGAGATGGCAGCCTGTACTCCGCATCAGGAAGGCAAGCTTCGCTTACCATTCACTGACCTCTCCCTCCATCCTTATCTCAGTCAGATACACTGTCTTTTTCCCTACATATTTAGAATAAGTGGCCAGCACATCATCAATTATGAGAGACCCAACTGTATGTAACTGGGAGTTGGCAGAGCACACCACCACCAATGGGCTTAACTTGAACTCTTAGTTAGGATCTACCCTCACTACTTAAGTATTCAAAATAGTTTCTGCTGCCCAGCTGCGAGATGGAAGATTGACTGTATTTTCCCATAAATGACAAATTCTGGCAGAGAATAAGGTTAAGGGAAATGGTACATTGAGCACTGACAGTGAGAATTATATGTTCAGTAAAACCTCATTAATTCACTGTGGCAAGTGCACCCGTCCTGACAAAGACCGGGGTGATTAAGGTGGCTGTGTCCTCACTTTTCACGCCCTTGCTTTCGCACCTTTAAGGTGGCGAGTGCTGACTGTCAGGTGCAGACCTTGGGGCAGTGATTATGGTCAGGTATACACCTCGGGCGAGGGGCAAGGAGGTCGAGGCCCTCAGCCAACCAGAACCGACCACAGGTCAGCTTCGACTAGGGTATAAATGGAGCCCCGCCGGAGGGCAAGTGGGGTTGGTCCTCTTTGGAGCAGCGGGTCTGCAGTCGGGGACTTTCCCCTTGGGTCGGGACGCCGCCCAAGGAAACTCCTCGAGGTTGAGAGCCCTCATCTTACAGGTGAGTGATTGTGCACATTGTGGATCCTCGTTTCTAAAGCCGGCCGTGCAGTGTTAATTCCTCGTACTCCCTCCTGAACCTGTGGTTTACTGATGTTGTCGGAGTGTTGACACCTCATTTCTAGTTAGTTTTCTCTTAAACAATTTTGGTTAAAATAAAGTTTATTTTTGAATTTATCACCTGCCTAATTTGATTTCGTGAGCCTCCGTGACATTCAGCCTGAGAAATTAATGATTTACTGACTTGTGATCTAAGAAGTGCTGTAGTGGGAACAAGAAATAAAACCAGGAAACGGCGTAATATGTAATTTGTTCACTATTTTGACAAGTGTGGCTTACTTATAATGTAATAATGGACCAATAAAACATAGCCTAAAATATTTTAGAAATAATGAAATCTTACCAACAGGAAACTTCTTCATAGCACTTAGCTAAGTCTTTAAAGAAGGTACTAAATCTTTAAAAAAGGTACTATAGAACTAAAATAACATGTTTCCACCATTATTCATAAGTAAGGCAAAAGAGTCTAATACTTTACTGTCCTGTTAGAGTTCAAAGGAATGATTCAAACAGTATGTTCTAGCAAGCTGTGGGTGGAAAAAGAGATACTTAATTAGGCCTGCACAGTCTGTACTGACATCAGATGCTCTGGACGTGTACAAGTCAATATAAACTAAAAACAAATCTGATACAGGAACTTCAAATAACAAGCAGCAAAGCATTTCTTGCGAGACAGTCAAATCTCATCCCACAACGATATCTCCACAGGAGGAAGGCTGTCTCCATGTTGCTAACCACAGGATGTCGATATTTGTTAACCTAGTTATCTTAGCACATTGCCAACCATGGGCTTACTTAATAGCAAAGGTGATTAAGCTGACAAGCTTCTTATTTCCAACTTGATGCAGTCCCAGCTTTGATACTTTGAGTCAGGGCTCTAAAACATAATTAGTCATCTGAAGAACAGAAATCAGATATTTTCTCTTCACTAACGAACTCCCATTTCTAAGACAGGCGTTCTGGGTGCCTGGAACCTTTGGCTAAGAAGTGCTCAGATAATCTGAAACAGTGTTTAGAAGAATGCCATAATATTTATCTAACCACACCATCACTTCAGAACTGAAAGGATGAATAAGAGAATAAACTCAGTGCAGTATAAAAACATCTTATAATCCAAATCCTCTTTGTACTGTTTTCTTTGAATGAAAAAGAGAGATGTGTTATTCTAATCAGAAGCAACTGACATCCAAGCTCTTCTGGATGTTTCTGTTCTGAGGCTAGCTTCCTTTACACATACATATCCCATGTGTTGCTATTACAGATTACATGCTTTTACTTGGTTTTCTGACCTTACAGCCAAACTCAACTTAGAGTGGGGGGGGGGGGAATCCCACTTTGTATAGTTAATACAAACCACACTTACCAGTGAGTGGACAATGAATTCACAAGTCTTACTTAGGTCTTTTGCCAGCAGAGAACGTCTCATATCACACCGTAGGGTATACTGGCAAGAACAGGATGGCAGAGAAAAAGAAGAGAGCCTCAGTTAAGATTTCCTCTCTCTCTTAAATTTTCATCTTTTTATTGCATATGTGCAGAATGTTACTGTTATTAATATTTAAGGCATCGATTAAAACAGATTAGTAGGCAATGTACATACCAGTGATGGGGAGAGGGAAAGGAGATAAGTGGTATACAATGATTTTAGATGCTCCCAAATGAAAGCTGACTTTTCTTAGTGTTTACAGTCCCATAGTCACTTGCAAATGCTTTCCATATCTTCCGTGTTATGTAACAACCTATGAGATTGAGGGACTAATTCACTGACAGAGAGTAGTATTCTTGTACAGCTTCAGCACCCGAATTAAATTCAGTTAAGGGTGATTATGGTGTTGCTTTCACCATACTTTGGATAAGTGATTATCAATAAGATATATTCACAGCCCCTCTAATTTTAAATTTACTGTAAGACTGAATTCAACAGTGGTAACAGTTACATGCATATTTAATGGGGAACTGTCTTTAACCATATAGCTGAACTTAAAAGCAGCAGCGTGCAGTAAAGTCAGGCAACAAGGTTAATTTTGCCGTTCACTGTTCAAAAACTTGCTGCCAATTTCCTCCCCTTTCTCCCCTAAAAACAGAGCCATAAACCAGTGACTGAAAAATAGTATGACCTTGGTTATCACAGTAATCACACACTTCAGCATCTATAACATAGCCTTTCAATGTCCTTACAAGATAGGGAATTTGTTGGGGTGGGGTTTTTTTGTTGTTCTGGTTTTAATTCCTTCTTTACAGATGAGGGATCGGCAAAAACAGGTGCACTCAGACTAGGGACTCAGCTTCATAACTTCTAGTTCATGGTGTCTCTCTGCACATAACCTGAATATGCATGCAAGAACGAGACCGGGGAGCATATATCTTTCCTCATCACAGACTGGTTTCCACTGAAGTTGATCACTGTTGAGCAAACCTATTACTGCACTACATTTCACTCAGACCAGGGAACACAGCGCAATGAGGCAGCAGGACCACACAGGCCTTGCAATTTGGCCCACAGCCTCCCCATCAGTGTCTAATTAGAAGGTCTCTGCATGAGAACAGAGACTTGAATCTTGATACTGAACCCCCAGCTAACTTACTAATACCTAGATCAAGAAATAGAGGCTTGCTTTTAAACTGCACAGGACTTGGACAGAGGTCTAGGAAGTGTTTCTTAAACAGCACTTTTAGTTACTCAAATGGAAAAATAAATCGGTGGTATACTGTTTGTAGTCTATTTTCCCACTTCTTGGTTCGGACAGAAAACAAATATAAACATGTTAGAAGCAAATGAACTTGTTCCTTTGATTTATTTAAATCTAGCAAAGTATTTTTAAGCAGTTCAAGCCTGATTTTCTAGAAAACAGACTTAATGTTCCCCAATTTATAGCTATGTATCTGTTTTATCAGGTATCAGTGCATCTTAAATAACCTTGGGAGAGACCACATTTTCCTCTTCAGGAGAGCAGGACTCTCAAAGGTTGGCTGAAATCTAATGATTAACCTTTTAATTACATTTTATGTAAAGAGAAGCTACATAGATAAGAGAGGGAATGACAAAACAAAACAAATATTCACCATTAAAGGATACCTTAAAACAACTGATATCGATCATAGGCAAGTTATCTGGATTATGGAAAGCAACTCAACCAGTTTTGCACCATTTTTGACATACCTACCATAAACAACAGATGTTACATTAGGAAGAAAGCCAAGACTGAAAAAAAATATGGGAAGTACTTAAAAAAACATCTGAATGTAGACAAAAAACAAGGGAAATTTTCTTTTAGTTACTTCTGATAGGCTAGCAGGTGGGGGTTTTGTGTGGGTTTTTGGTTGGTTGTTAGGGTTTTATTAAAATCTCAGACTGTAATATAAGACTTCCAGTTCAGCTAAATAGCTAACAGTTTTATACTTTGTCGTCAAATCCAATACTCTCATCAGTGAGCTGCAAGTGGGGGGGGGGAAAGAAAAGTTTTACAACCCCGTGATTCTTCATCAGCACTGGTCTGAAAATTTTTGCATTTAGTGGCTCCTTCAACTTTTTCCTTGAAGAAAAAAAAAACCCAAACCCATAAAAACACCCCTCAGTAAGAAAAAGCATTGTCTAACACAGTATTTACATTCAAGAGATGGCTGAAGAAAGACTTTCCCTCAAAAAAAAAAAAACCAAACCCAAACAAATGAACCCACCTAAGGTAAGGCAATTTTTAACCAAAAAAGGTCAAATTTCAAAATTGTGTTTCCACAAGATCCTGTTACAAGCCTGTAGTACATACAGATTTGGGCAGGAAATGTTACTACTCATCTCCACAGGAATGCAAACAATTCATATTTTTGAAGATGCTACAAGCTCTCAACACTTTGGTTTGAGTCTTCCTTATGAAATTACACAGCCACATTTGTGTTGAACAAAAGGACACTGTGGTGCGGTCTTTTTTCATGAAGGGAATGGATGTAGTTGTCTACAACATAAGGAGGGATCGGATATATGTTACAGTAGTTCTGACAAGGTATTTCAGGCAAGACATCTTGTTACTGTTCTGTTTATGCCATCATTCTTTAAAGATTTACTCCACATGGAAGGCCTGAAACAATAAGTGATGGAAAGATTTCCTCTAGTTAGAGGACACTTCTCACAAATGAATGCAGGAAAACAGACTCTGAACACTAGGTAGCTTTGTTCCTGTAGGATTTATCCCTGCATCTTAAAATGGATCTGGTAAGTCAGTACACTTCATTTTTAATATTTAAGTATTATTAGCAGTAACTGGTTGTCTACTATGCTAACAAAGTCTCACTGGTACTAGGTTAACAGTACACACACTTGTATCTGGGTATGTACTACTATATAGATTATCTACAAAACGGTAAATGAAACTTCTTTCACAATAAAATCAGAACTAGATGAAAACATCACCCTGTAAGAGAACTATACAAGATTCAACAAGCGTGGCAAATACATTTGAACCTTTCTCAACCCAAAGCCCCTCTTTCCAGTATGCTTTTAATTCTCTCTTGTACTCGCCATGTTACATCTCATCAGTTTCATTATCATCAACTATTTCCAATGAAAAGCTTAAACTTACTGGTAAAGAAAAGGGAACAGACATCACAACAATTTTTTAAAAGTAACATTATATTGACAGGATTCTGAGATCTCAGGACAGTTCCTTTGCCACATCTAAGAAGTGTTACCACCTGTGGAAAGTGTGGACTCCTAGAAACTGGAACTGAAAAAGGCAACTAGAAACTACCTACAAACTGGTACTTAAAAGGTTAACATGTATAATGATTTTTAATCTTAAGTTATATCTAGAAAATACAGTACACACCAGAAGAATGCTATATTAATAAAGGGAAGCTTAAAAGCTACTTACTTCAAAGGATCTCTAACTTTCTGCTCATTCTTCAAATTGAGAAAAGAAAACATATTGCACTATGAAAAGAAAACTTTATCACAAAACTTTATCCTCTGCTTCCATGGAATAAGAGATGCTTGAGAATACATTCTGCAGATAACAAAAGTTCAGATTTTCTTTACAGATACGACTGCCTTACCTGAATATTAACAAAGACACCATGATATGTCTCATACAGAACTTTGTTCCCCTTCATATGCAATGGAAATTCAAACGGGATTTCTGTCTTGCCACTGGGAAGTTTCCCTGGTTTTACCATTTCAATAGTGCTGTTAATAATTTGAATAGGCTGCCAAGATAAATATTAAGAGGTTTAGGTTGAAGCAGAGTTACAGCCCCATCATTTCAAGAACCAACAACATCCACTAAACTCTAATAGACTTCCTGAATTTCCAGAAACTCAGGTATTTCTTCATGACACACAGCTCTCCAGTCTTACAATGAAAAGAAATGTTAAGAATGCTTTCCTCAAGAAAACAATTTTTGATCTATTTTATGGTTGTATCATACTAATGACCAAACATATTTAGAGAGCTAAGCAGCAGAGTCTCGAGCTCTTTGGAAAGTGGAGTTCCATTTTCTAAATTATGACCTTAATAGTAGCAGCAGGAATCGACAAGCGTGTGTGCCAGTTGAGCAGTTAGCCATTCCCTTCTACCTTCTCCCCGGCCCTTTCCCACCCTGAAGATCTATATTTAGGGCTAGTGTCTCACTGGAACAATGGTTAACTATGATTCAACTGGGGAAGCCTACTTGAAGATTACACTTCTTTTCTCTCTGGAGTTTTACTATTATTTTCCCTCTACTAGACAGGAATAAGAAAATCTATTGCTTCTACTGTTTCTTCTGTTTTCCAATCATTCAGGGGCAGATTATTCATACTGTAAACAAATTGACTATGATACAACTGAAGACCTTAAAAGGCCCTGCACTGAGGCTATCCTAACTTAAGCAAACTGTTTTGCAAATGTAGCTATACTGCCTCTAGACAGAGCCAGCCTTGCTTCAATCAGTACAGCCATGTTCATGTGGAGCCTGAGATAACTTGCCCTGCTAGATTCCAAACCCCACACTTCCAAACCTGGAGAGCGGTACAGAGGCCTTCCAGGAGCTCCGCGGTCAAACAGTCTGTGTGCAGCCTCATACTCTACAGAAGAATCTGTGCAGGTCCTGTATCATGCCTAGTAACACACAACCTCAATGGCCTCCGCAGAAACTATTGTGATAGTGACTGATCTGGCACAAAAGTCCAATTAAACCCAGTCACTTAAAAAAAAAAAAAAATCACACAATTTACTATTTTTCTTTAAATCATGGTCCTTCAATGCATCGTCCAGTAACCATACTATTTATGTTACTGTTTTTTAGCCCTAAAGAAAACTCTCCAATCAGTGCAAGTTCCTCCCCCAAAATGTCATCATATATCACTAGATAATGCTGAGCATTTCTCTGCTTTCTATCATTTACATACCATGAAGTGCTATAACTACCTGAGAGTCATTAAGGAAAGATTTAATGTGAGAAAAGAGATGAAGGTTTTGTGCTAAAAATACTAACCTGCACAGGTCTTACCTTGACAGAGTTATAGAAAGCTTCGAACACACCCACACTTTTGGCACTAAGCTGCAGATTTACTGATCCTTCCATTGTTAACAAGATACCTTGGTGCTGGACTGTGTCCTTACTTGTTATGACCACAACTCCAGAAAGAACTTCCTAATAGGAGAAAAGACAACATGAAAACATTTGTTTAAATAAATTTCTTCTATGGCTGTTACTCAGACAGCGTGCTAACTGATTTTCAAACTCAAGAAAACTGTTCCCAGAGAACAATCTAACCTTGTCAGAAAAAACAAATACTGATAATGAAAGCAATGTGAGGAAGAGACCTCTGTACTTCTAGTTTGTTTTCATTAAAAACATTCTCCTTGCAGAAGTACTAATCTGAGCTTCAATTTCCTTCCAAAGTTTCAAGATCTTCCTTTCCGGGAAGATGAAAAATATCCTCATAAACTATCAGGTCAGTTGGTAACAGGCAAGTTCCATTTCACATGTCAGAATGAAATCCCAGGAGGAATTTTTATATGAAGAGTGGGACGGTCAGCCATGGGAGATGGAAGAGAAGACATAACTGTAAAAGTGATGGCCAAGCTGAGGATAAGACTCACCTCAAGAGCGGAGCGAAATAGATTTAAAATAAATAAATAGTTGTTCTGCTACACAAGCAAATTCCATGCTACATGGGAAATAGTTTAAAAGTGTATCTGAATTGAAGGCACGAGTCGTATGACTCAAGAGATGCGCCACTTATCCCATTAAGAATGTTTTGTCTACAAAATTGTATTTGCACAAGAACGCTGCATCTTGGAAGTATCAACTTAGAAGTTCTAACACTGAAAAAAAGCTTAACTGCAGGAGAGCAACACACAGTTCATTTTACATACCCCATAGTTTATCCTTCCCCTCTCCTACAACAGAGAATCCACTCCAATCCAGAGTTCCACGCATTCATACACATCTGGCAATAGCAGCAAGTGATTTGAGAACCTGAAGAAAGTTTCTTGGGGCTAACCTTCTCTTCTGCTCGATGGTAATGCTCTCTGCACCTTCATCGGGCTTGCAAACTAGACACCGAACTACAGATCACTCCAACCAAAGGATAATTCAGACTGCCCACTCTACACTCTGCCAGTTAAAACCAGTCTAGTTATGTACATCTCTGACAGACGCTATTTGAATTTTGCCAGCCTTTTGTCTTTACTAGTGGTACAGGATGACAATATAGAAAATGGGTCAGGCAGTTTAAAGCAGAACAGGACAGCAGGAGAACATCAAGCATCACAACGAAGGCTGACACGCTGCAAGTCTGAAAAGAGGACCTGCAGCTATTGGGAAATGCCAGGAACAGGAGGCACAAGCACAAAAGGACAGTGAAGAAAAGCTGACCTAAATACTGTACTGCTTTGCTAACAGGCTTTAATTAGTACAAGCAATTAGGTTATTGCTTTGAAAAATGAGTACAGCTGAACTATAAGAAGCAAGGACAACCCTGAACATATGAACTGCTTTAATAAATGAGAACAGCCTCCCACCACACAGCAACAGCCTATTCCAGAGCTATTGCCTACATACTTTCACACGATAAGGGTGTATGTATTTGGGGCAGAAAGGAGAAGAATTACTTGAAGTTAAATATGAATTTTTCTTATAACATTAAGTGTCTCTTAAGAAATGAAAAAACACCTCAAAACCACTTTCTAACAAAAACTTTTGAAGTTCACTAACATGGGGGAGATGGAAGTATCACGAAGAAGATGCCGTAATATTTACTTAAACTGTTTATATAGAGAAGAGCTACTTTGTCCTTTTTTGCATAAAACCAAGGTCCCCACTAAATACAAAGCTGTCAGTATACTTTTCCTTCTAGAAAGTACAAATCAAAGAACATAAGCTTAGCAAGATGTTCAAATACTTATAGTTAGCACACAATTTATGAGAAAACTTTACTTTTGCAAAACATTTGCAAACGTACAGTTTGTAAAAGTTACGTGGCATCACTTGACACTAAACTAGTACTGTTTTCAGTCCATATCAAAAGGGGTTCATTTATTTACCTTTAACACCGCAAAACTAAAGGCACAGAGAAAGTCACCACTGGAATTAATCCCCACGTACTACAGTAGTAACTTACAATCAGTTGCTCTTACTCACTTTTTACCTTCTCCCTTACTAGGAACTCCTCATGGCTTCACCACGTGATGACAAAACTTTGCAAGATGTAACTAAGCTAATACAGTTTCAGACAGAATTATTCATCTAAACAGAGTATTCATCCACTGGAAGGCCAGTGTGTTATGTGAAGCAGACAGAGAAGTGAGGTACACATGCTAAACTGCAAACAAAACATTCTTGTGAGAAGACTGTCCCAGGTTAATGATCCCAAACAAGCTTTTTAGCTTTCTGTTGTCAGTTCCTTACCATTCAGAGATGCACACGAAACTGCCAGGAAGACTGACGCTTTCAAAGTTTCAGTCACTTTCAAGGTCACAACTAAGATGAACACCTGCTTCATCTGATTGTATTAAGACCACTTGAAATCTGTCATCACACTTTTTGAGGTGTTGACAACAGCAGAGGACATCATACCTAAGGCCATACAGAAATGCCTAACACTTCTCTAGATCCATTTGCTATCTGCTATACGTCTATAGATTAAGCTTTTCATTGTTTTGGTAGAATGGAAGTCCACAGTCAGTCGGTTACCAACAAGACGCCTTAGGTTCCTTCTAGATTCCACTTTCCACATCATAGGCATTCACGTTTAGGACAAAGGGCAAATATTTGGCAATTTAAAAATTCACACTAAGTTCACATAAGTCACATTTACTAAATATTCCTAATAATTTTCTTCCACATCTACTCCTCTACGCAAGCCACCTGCAAATCTTAACTACATATTCTTCTGATTATTTAGAAAGAAACTGACCACATTCAATAGAAAAAGTCTACTAGACCCAACTAACTAGTCATTAGATGCTTTAAAACCTCAATGCTCAGATTTACTAATTAGTTTGCTTTTTTAGAAAAAGTAAAAGGCTTCCTTATGGGCAAATTCTGACTTAAGTGTATTTTGGACTCACTTGTCATTAAAAGTCTTGGCTGATGTTAACTATGGCACCTGTCTTTGTAGAATGCATTTTTCAGACCTTTCAGCCTAGAATTCTTTTAAATATCAGACTAACTGCCACAGTTACTCCAGTCATCCTGTTTAGGTTTTCTAAATAAAACACATCATTAGTTGTGCCTGTCCCCTTCTTCTTCTAGCATTCCAGAGTTTATTAAATGAGCCTCAATGGTTCAAGAATTCTCCATCCAATTAAAAAAAAAAAGTCTCCTGAACACAGATCATCTACTCCTAGGAATTTAAACACAGTTTTGCTGCAATAAGCCTTATTTGGCTATTATAGGACATGTTATTAGGGTCCATTTTATTGTCTTTCTGTTCTTAAATCCCCTATCACTTTTTTTTTTTTTTAAAACAAAACAAAACAATGCTATTACTCTTTTGGTCCAAGAAGTGGCAAACTTGTTTTTTACTCGCAATTTAAAGTAATCTGGCTTGAACAGCCAGCTTTTCTCAAATTGAAGTCTGGACAAAATAAAGGTCTGTCTTTGCTTAGTTCCTCCAGTTTCTGATGTTTATAACTAATGAATACAGAAATTGCTTACTGTTTATCACAGCACGTTATTTTAACCAACTTCCTTTTTAAAAGCAGAAACACAATCTCAGGCTTGCACAATGGATGACTATTTTACAAATTTTGTGTCTAATTTCTCCCAATTAAAAAAGAACAGTCAACACAGAAGCAAAAAACAACTAAAAAGAACAAAATAGTTGCCTACTCAACTACTTAGAACTAAAGAAAGTTTTAGGAAGTGAAGTGACTTCCACTTGGCGTAGGAGATTGCTTTGCAACAATGAAAAATGGTTGAATTGAGCTGAATTTAGTATAACCAAGGTCACCATACCAGGGTGAGAAGTAGCCTGACCCAACCCAAGACAACAGGGAACAGTATCTGAAGGTTCTGTTATATGGTATTTCAGCACCAAAGAGAAATTTTAAGGATCTTGGCCCGATGGGGAAAGCCTATAATGAAATATATGCATCATTCTGACCTTACAAAAAGCAAAAAAGAAGAAGTTATTCAGCCTTAATTTTCCTGGTCAGCTATTTGCTTTAGACACACCCTTATCTTCTCCACTCACCAGCCTTCTTGTATGTACTTTCAACAATATTTTCCCCTAACAAGACTCAAATTCAGTTCTGCAATAAAATTAAAGATGTTTGTTAGCTTTCAGAGTTCTTCCCTAGAAGTTTTTAATATAAACTCCCGCACCTTCAGGGCCTTATTCGGTATGGACTTTACCATTAAGAGATTCTCAGAACAGTTACTTGTTAAATATGGGTCTCTCCTACATCTGTTTCCCCTCACGCCTTCCCTCTTGGAGGGAATAAAGATGTATAGCAAATACACTCAACAGTTGTAAAGATGCTGGTTGATGTACACGCAATAGATAGAGAGATGCCGATTGCTAAAAATCCCTGAATATTTCGCCCGGACTATGCACTCTCAAGAGGTACAAAGACAGAGCTTGAATGGAAGAATCAGCAGCCATTGCCGTTACCAGTTCTTTGGTCTATTATCACCTAAAATCACAGACTGAGATCCTTGAGACTGTTCTTCATCCACCCCCCTTCGTTTTGTTCATCCAATTTCCCGCTCTGTTGGATCTGCTCCACTATGTCTAATCTCTCTTCTGTAGGCCATCCAGCACAAGACCATTCTGATACTGATTGTTAAATATTCTCTGTTCTACTCTACTTGAGAAGACATTCATAAGAAAAACAAAAAAGGATGTCCATGATTCAAGAGGTCAATTTTTTTATTATTATTATTTACTTTTTTTGAGTGTCACACCAACCAAATATTATCCATTTCCCTGACCTGGCTTACTGCATAGCCAATACTGTCAGCACAAGAAAGGTGAGAGAAATTAAATGGCTAGGGAGGCGAGTGGCATTGTGGAGTTATGCTGAATTAATTATGGTCTCGGGCAAATTATGACTTAGAAAGCTCAGTAATGTTTTAGCAAATTTTTCTGCTATTATAATGTAACAGTCGTAACAAAAAGACTATTATACCAGTGCA